GAATACGAGCGGTTGAGTACGGGACACCAACTTCGTCCAGCCTCAAATTGGGGTCACCTGTGATAACGGTACGAGCAGAGAAGTCGACACGCTTTCCCATCAAGTTCTGACGCAAGCGACCCTCTTTACCCTTCAAACGACTGCGAAGAGCCTTCACGGGACGGTTTCCCTTTTGCATTGCCGTGGGTTGACCAGCAATGTCATTGTCCATGTAAGTGGCAATGTGGTACTGAAGGAGAGATTCGAATTCACGAATAACGTGCTCGGGTGCTCCCTCCTGCTCACAACGTTGAACGTTTTGGTTTGCACGGACAATTTCCGCGAGCTTATAAGTCAAATCATCCTCGCCGCGAGCGCCACTTGTGGCTCCCATTACAACGCTGGGGCGAACAGTCGGGGGAGGGACGGGCAAGACGGTAAGAATCATCCACTCGGGACGAGCATAGTCATTGCTGAGACCCATGATGCGGACATCTTCCAGAGAGATGTTTCGGAAGATGTTCAGGGCCATTGTGGGAGTGATAACTTTCTTCTCCGGTTGAGCCATCTCATCCTCCATCATGGCCTTGCTAGGCTTCCATGTTCCAACTAGACAGATGCCTTCTTTCCGAACGGTGGGTTGGGCGTTACCGCAGCCCCCATGGGAGCGACCCTTCTGGGAGTCCTTCGAAAATTCCTCGTCATCAGCAGGCGCATCCGCTTCACATACCAGGACATCCTTGGAGAGTCGCCAGATAGAATCGAAACGTCGCTTGGGATCACGGAAACGGAGGGCTTCGGTGAACTTGGAATCGGCCTGGTATCCATGTCAGCAAAGTGAACCACTCAAGATTTGCCATCCCAATAGGGATGACTAACCGTGTTGGCCTTGATCTTTCCACAGTTATGGCAAACTGTCTCCAAAAGCTTCTTGATTTTAGTCAAAAAACCTAGAGTGGGGCCAAGAAATCAGCAGTGAAGACAAAAGACGATGGGAGGAATCCGAGACAAATCTGTTACGCACCAATATGGAACACTGGGGACGCGAGCTCGATGTGACCAAAATGTCCAGGGCATTCTTTCGGGCCCTCTTCGCAAGTCTCGCAGTTATATTGACGGTCAATTGTACCCAGGCGAGGGTCGTTGATGCCCTTAGTCCGAGGCCGTTGGCGTTGATCGTCCTGTTCCTCACTTAGCCATCAAGTCGTCACCGCGCATAGCAAAAGCAGGCCTTGTCCGGAAATGATACAGCGGGCAACAGATCAAAGATTTACTCACCAGCGTCTCGGGATATTCGATATGAACCACACTCATGCGCTTGATCTCTTCGGGAGCGAAAAGACCAAACTGAATTTCCTTAATGGTGCGCAAAGGCGCCTTGGAGTAGGGGAAAAACACGTTAGACATGATGGCAAAGTTGTGGTGACAAAAAAAATGAGGATGAAAAAAAGGCGGAGATGACCGGTCACGTAGGCGTGTCGTAAAACCGGTGTAAACGACGGATGTTGGCTCGTAAATATCGCAAAAAAGGAAGTGACAGACTCGCTCGCAAGCTAGAAGTCAGATTTACACGTAGCGGCGATGAAAAGAAGGTGATGTGGAAGCAGCTGGCCGGTTGAGGCCTTGGGCAGCCCTTGCCACGAGGGCGCCGGCGACCTAGAGGTCCCGAACGTCACGAAGAAGAAAAGAAGGAGAAAAAGAGCGCAGCAAAGAAGATCGTCTTCGCGGTATCTTTGAAGAAATATCGCGATGGGAAAGGCGCGATCTTCTTAGATTGCGGAGGCGGTGGGTGGATGGCGTGTCGGGGAGATGAAAGGGTGATGTTCTGAGGTCGCCTCACTGTGATGGGGCTTGAGTTTTCCCTGCACGATGGTTGCCGTCTAAACGGGAGCTCACCGCTTTGGCAATTTGGTGGATACCTTCCCCAAAGTGCAGGCACCGGCAGATTTTGATGTGCCGTTCACCATGGTCCATGAAAGCGGTGAGTACTGCAGGCAGACACATGAGGCACCAACTTGGGTTCGTTTTAAATGGGCTTTGTCACCGCCTTGGTATCTTCTAGATTCCAAGAATATCGACACCGGCAGAAGGAACTAAGATTATTGTCACTACGCAAAAGGCTATCTCTGGTGTTCACACTGGATGCTTGAACACCAGTCATCATCCTGGCCTATTTGATAGGCTGAGGATTCACTTTGAATTCAAATATCTTACCTCCATACCACTTAGCGCAATGAATCTTTCACTCGTCGATCCATTTGTCCTGGCGCAGGAATACCCAGATACTTTGACTGAGAAGCTGAGTATGTACTATCCCATCTTTGCTGAAAATGAAGACCACTAACCGAGTCAACGCAACATAGGTAGCGGCCATGCGACATGTTTAAGCTTCAACCACAAAGGCGATTACCTTGCCTCCGGACGAGTTCGTGAACCCAACACCAAAAAAAACACATATCCTCATATAATGGTCTGAAGACTGAGACATAATCTAGGTGGATGGCACAGTGGTGATCTTCGATATTGAAACCAATGGCGTGGCGCGCAAATTGCAAGGCCACACGCGACAGATCCAGTCTCTAAGGTACAATTACCCTCGACTAAACACACCGATCTATATCGAACCCCCGAAATACTGACTTTCATGCCAGCTGGTCTCGCGACGGCCGATACCTCCTCACATCTTCCCAAGACTGGAAATGCATCCTTTGGGATCTAAAAGACGGCTCACGGGTCCGCACAGTCCGATTCGAAGCACCAGTATACATCGCCGAGCTGCACCCATTCAACCAGTACAGCAACCACGATCCCTTCCGCTATCTGTCGAGTCATATCAACTAATTTTTTCTTGTTCTGCAGCCTTCTTTTCGTCGCATCTCTCTTCGAGGACCAACCAGTACTGGTAGACGTCTCCAGCACAAAACCAATCAAACGAATTCTCCCCTCTGCTCCCCTCAGACCACAAGCTCCAAAAAACGAAGAAATTGACCCAGCCGTGGCGGCGAAACAAGCAGCGCAAGATGCCAAGCACTCAACATGCGTAACCATCTTCACAGCCTTCGGCAACCACATCATCGCCGGCACCTCGAAAGGCTGGATTAACATAATTGAAACACAAACTTGTACCACAATCCATTCAATGCGTCTCTGCAATGGGGTGGTGATTCTCCTTCGTCTAGCCAGCAACGGGCGCGACCTCCTTGTCAACAGCTCGGACCGGGTAATCCGCACAGTGCTCATGCCAGACCTATCGCAGCTAGGGATCGACCTGGAACCATCCGCGATAAAACTGCACGTGGAGCACAAATTCCAAGACGTGGTCAACCGACTCAGCTGGAACCACGTAACCTTCTCCTCGACCGGCGAATTCGTCACCGCGACAACATTCATGAACCCTGATATCTATGTGTGGGAACGCAGCCACGGGTCGCTGGTCAAGATCCTGGAGGGACCGCGTGAGGAACTCGGCGTTGTGGAGTGGCACCCGAGCAGGCCGATGGTTGTGGCCTGCGGGCTGGAGACCGGGTGCATATACACGTGGTCCATAGTGTCGCCGCAGAAATGGTCGGCGCTGGCGCCAGATTTCGGCGAGGTTGAAGAGAACGTCGAGTACATGGAGGCGGAGGATGAGTTCGATGTTCACCCAGCTGAGCAAGTGCATCAGCGACGGCTAGATCAGGAGGATGAGGTGCCGGATGCTCTGACGTTTGACTCGGTCAAGGGGGATGGGGATGCTGATGGCCTTGAGCCATTTAATCTGCCTGTCTTGCTGAATATCGAGGACAGTGATTCCGGTGAGGATGTTGTTGCTGTCGGGCCTGGGACTATGCGACGGAGGACGCCTGGGGCTGGGAGGGAAGGTGTCAATGGGGATGCGGACAAGCCTGCGACTAACGGGGCTTCGAGGGGTACTAAGAATCGGCGGCGATAGTACGCATGCTTTACTTTCTTTCTTTTTGTGTGTGTGTGTGTGTGTGTGTGTGTGTTGTACTTTTCTTTTTCTACCTGCATTCTATTGTTGGAGGGCTGTACTAGCATGTTTTGCATACGGTGGCGTTCATTTTTCAGGGCATGATTGGTCTGCAATCCGGCGTTGGTGGAAAAAGCTTCTAGGGCTTTTTTTGATCCCATGTATTCATACAGATACAACGCAGACAGGTCGTGATGACTCAAGTGATTCAGGTGCTCCTATGTTCAACAGGGTTAGATATGTATGTGTAAGGATCAAGACATTTACCGAATTGTCGACGGTAGGGGTTGCAAGAACACATAAAGTTAATGGTTTGTGATGGTGAACGAGACTTGCGGGTGCAATATTCAAGCTGCTGCTCCGTCCCAGCGAATGCATTGATCGTGTAAGAGAGGGAGAGAGATGGTTAACAATAGTACCAAGAGCAAAAGTTGGTTCCAATGAGACATCTTAACTTGGCATTCAGGTAGCAAATGGAAGTGTCAGAAACTATAGGAAGGTAACCTGGGTATATATAAGCCGAAACGATTCGGAATTCTTGAAAGCCCAAAACGCCCCAAGATGCAAAGCCCAGCATGCAGAGAAAACAAAAGAGAAAGAGAAAGATAGAATCGAGAGAGGAAAATATAAAATCATGGCCCAAGAAGGGTCGTTGGCGCATACATCGTGTCAGCCGTCAATCCCCCAGAGATCCTTCAGTCATTCAACCATGTTCAGAGTCCTGTCGGCCGTTGGGAACCTATAAGATCAACACTTTTGAAATAATATCTCAGTTCCCCATGTGTCTGGACCTTGGGCAAAACAAAAATTCATAAAGCTGTAAAATCGTTGGCTGTGGAGCATCTAGTTGTGCTTGCAGAAGCACATTCAACGCTAACGTGGCAAGTCCACACTCTGGGCCAGCCCAAAATCTGTGAGACCCGGTCTATGATTCCAAAATTTGAATCTGATGATCAACCATGTGTAAGGGGTGATCAAGCGATTATCGGTATCACCTTTCAATTGAAGGAGCCATCTTTTGATCGATCGCCATGTGGGTATAATTCCGCTTTTACTCCTCGGGTTTTCGGGCTTGGTAAATGTGTAAAAGGTTGTAAGTTTTGATCTTTTTGTCAAAGGCTTCTTGTTTGACGTCGAAGGCAATGCGGTCAATTTGCTCTCGAGACCAAGAAAGAACCCGGCTGAACGGAGCCAAACACAATGGCTGAACGCTCTCAGATATGGCCAAATTATACCAACGGGCCACCTTCTGCTCGTGGGAATCGGGATGCCATGGGTTCATAGGCAATCCCACAATCTGGTGGTCGATCTCGGTGAAGCCCGCTTCTTGCAAATTCCGGATGGTGTCATTCGAGCTGTGGGCCAGGGGGCGCATGGTAGCTTCGGTCGCATGCTTCAAGGTCGAGTACCAATTAGCCATCGCGCGTCCCGGTTCGCCATCTTTGTCCTCGACGCGAGGCCGGAAATCGATTTCGACCTGCTCAAACCAAGCGCCCGGCCGGAGATGCTGAAAGACACGTCGGTAGAGACTGGGCCAACTTGCGACACTACCACAGCCCATCTGCATGTGGATGATATCCCATGAATCCTCCCCCATGGTCCAGGGTGCCTCGAAGTCGAAGGGGGCATAAAAATCGCAGTTCTTAGGGAAATTGGCCGGCTGTATTGGTGCAAGGTCCACGCCCACCACGAAGGAATCGGGGTATTTATTCGCAACTTCGATGCTCCAGATACCCGTTCCACACCCCAGGTCGAGAATTCTGGACCCCGGGGGATGTGGTGCATAGATTAAGCCATCCTCGGCCCGTGCTACCGTGAACAATTTGTGAAAAATGTCGAGACGATCTTGCTCTTCCTCGTCACAGGGGAGCGGGTAAATTCCTTTCCGATAGCCATGGTACAATCGACCATTCTCTTTGTGATGTGGATATCTCTCGGGTATTCTACATCGGACAGAGGTCAGTGATTTGAATTACCCGATTGAGCAAGGGAGTGACGCACTTGCGATCGGACATTATGATGGGAGATGATCGTGAGATTTGCGATGTATTGGAGGTGTGGGACGTTTGTGTGGCTACCGATCCATTGCTCGTAAAACGACCGTTCCTGCGAGGATCTTTATCGACTGGATCTCTATCGATCAAGGTATGCAAGTCCATGGCCGAGGATGGTTGTCGTGATCGGACTCGATCACTCGCCACGGAGTGCGAGTAGTATCGAGAGTGACTGTCACTCGTTGGGGTCGACTCGGACTTGTATCGTTTGGGTGGGGGAGGAGAAGTGATAGGAGGTAGATGTCGCAGCTTGGTATCCCCGTTAAACATTTTCGGTAGTGAGGTTCGGTCCATGGGAAAGGAACCAGACTCTCTATACGACATAGTGATATCTGCCATCAAGTGAAAAGTCAAGCTAGGAAACGCTCAAAAAGCAAGTGTGGGAAAATCATCTAAGGAATTTCCTAAGATGGAGGAAGGGGGATTTTAAGGTGAAGCTATTTTTCCTCCATATAAGTCCGAGAAGAAACAAGGAGGGGGGGAAGTAAAGATGTGCAGAAACACGCAGAAGTACAAACTGGGAAACGACCCGCGCTGCTGGGTATTTAGTGTACTTTTGTTTTTTTTTTAAGGATATTTCATCACTATTATTTGGTAAAATGAAATACTAAATAATAGATAATAGATATATTGATCTAGATTCCAGACTCCAGATTCTATAATTTCTATCTTATTTTACTATACAATGTCAAGATTCCAAGTGGACATCGACCCACGCTCCGGGATGCGGACCGCCTGGGCCAGGTTAATAAGCTCCTGGTCGATAGACTATGTATCCTCTGTATACTACTTATTCTACTTATACTACACATACTACATCCATTGTATACTCCATAGAAGTGGCAGCCTTTCTTCTTCTGACTTCGTACATGTATAAAAATATCTTCACCGCAACCCAAATCCCCGGGTTCGGGTGGGATATTCGAGCGAATCAAGTGAGATACCACATCTTGGCCTAGCTGCATTGACCTTTTCCTTCTTTGTGATATGTAAGAATGACCCTAACACCGGACCCATTGTGTTGGGTCCAGTTATACGTGTCAACATTCCCTGGATTTTCCGGGATTCATTACTTCCAAGGCCTCTTTCTGTTTGACTCGGGGATGACCTCGGGATCTACACTTGGTAGTGGTACGGAGCACAGAGTAGGTAAATATGCCAAACCCCGAGATCTGTGTCTCCTTGCATCAGACATACTTTGAACAATTGAAGATATTTGGCCTCTTACGATCCGGCGCTTGCCGCGCTGAATTTCCCGGGGTTGACCTACGTCAAGGTCGCCGATATCTCTCTGAGGTCATAGGAATTGGGTTTAGAGAGTAATGTTGGGATTACGTTCCTTACATTGTACATTCGGTTGTTTTTTTTCCCCGTTCAAACAACGAATCAAGATTGATGATCAAGTGTGATAGTTTGGGGGAATGAATAGGGTTCTTTGGGATTTATATCGGACGAAGTACTTCGTATCGAAGTACTCTGTACTCCGTACGCCGTATGTACATCAACTGCAAAAATAATTGGGCCCCACTAGGAAATTTTCCTACGCCAATCCAAACCTCAAAGGAAATAAATACTCATTCAAACATTAATCTCCTGACGCAGATCAACCGAAATAGAGGGAAATCGGATCTAGCTTCTTTCACTATGCACACACTGAAAGCAGTGGCATCATCAACTCTGTCCCTGCCAGCAGATAATTACATTTACTCCATCGTCCCATCGGCCCCGCGGACCTTTGCCGCTATCTCATCAGATGATTCGCTGCGTCTATTTGACGCCGACCTCGATCGCGGGTCTGTAATCTCGAACGCTGCTCATAATGGTGTGACCGCCCTGCGGAGCTTCGCCATGGGCGAATCGCACCTCCTGGCTACGGGTGGCCGTGATGGGAAGGTGAAGGTTTGGGATGCCCGGACTGAGAATGGAAGTCCAGTTGTGGAGATGGCAACGGGTGAGTTTGTGTTGGTTGAAGCTTTGTTTTTTTCTTTTTTCTCATTCTTTCTTATTTGGTGGTTTTGATGTGTCGATTGCCTGTTTGGGTGTGTCGGGAACCTGCCGTAAAGGGTGGTTTTTGCTGCATATCCGGCTTATTGCAGGTTTTCGGAGAATTTAGCTAGACTTAAGGTCCTAGCTTTGATTCCAGGTTGCTTATAAAATGCATATTGGCTAATACATTGTCTATGTGTTCAGCGAAACACTCACCTGTTCTGTCTGTGGCTTGTAATCCAGAGACCAACACTATTGTGGCGGGAACGGAGCTTGTCTCTTCGCAGGCGGTTGTTGCATTCTGGTAGGTCATCTTATACTTTGCTTTTAATTTGAATGAGCCGAGCAGTATCATTCGACATTTGTATTGGGATATGTCTTTCAGACCAAAAAAAAAAAAAAAAAAAACTGTCTATTATCAAACCCCAGTCCCATTGACCAGCAAACAGGGATATCCGGTCCCCCCAAGCATTCCGCCTCCAATATGTGGAGAGCCACAATGACGATATCACCGAGGTAGGTGTACCTTCTAACCCCGAACCACCCAACAGTCCCATCCGATACCCACATGCAGCACCAGCCAGACTGACCATTACATCGGCATCTTGCCTGTTATCGGTAGTACACAGCTCCAATATCACCCGACGCGCAGCAACATCTTACTCTCCGGCAGCACGGACGGATTAGTGAACATCTACGATACGACCGTAACAGATGAAGATGAAGCTCTGGTGCAAGTGATCAACCACGGCTCCGTACATCATGCCGGGTTCCTGTCGGAGCACAGGATCTTCGCCCTCAGTCATGACGAGCACTTTTCCGTGTATCCAGCCACAGACCCAGACGATGCTTCGCAGGAGCCCGAGCCCGTGCATTTCGGTGACGTGCGTGACCCGCTGGGTTGTGAATATGTTGCGCAGCTGTGTGTTGGTGCACAGGGACCGTATATTGCCGCTGGGAACAAGGTGTAGGTTTCTTGTTTGTCCTTATTTTTTCGTGTTTCGGTACTGGGAAAAGGCATGGCACATACACGTGCTGGTGTGCTTGTTTCTCTTGGGTGTTTTTTTTTTTTTCTTTCGTGAGTTGGGTTCATGGGTATTTGGCTAATTCATGTCTTGCAGTGACAACCGCCTCGATCTTGTCCCACTTGTTTCCAGCCCGTCGTGGAAGCTGGACCGGGATAATCTGTGGCGCTTGCCCCGTGCTCATTGTGAGGAGGTTGTGCGCTCGGTGTATTTGGATGAACAGGTACGTGTTCTAAGGAATGCTACTCGCTACATGACCTATTTAGTTATCTGTTTTCGGTTTTTCTTTATGGCTCTTGCTAATCCAATTGCCCCCTCAGAGTCAATCGGTTTTCACCTGTGGTGAAGATGGCTTCGTGCGAGCATGGAGACCTACTGAAGGGAATGATGCTCCACTCCAGTCCGGGTCTGCAAAAGCTCGGCCGAAGGAGAAGAAGAAGGATAGGTTCAAGCCGTACTAGTCTGTGTACTATGAGCGGGCGAATGCATCTGTTGTCGATGGTCTGCTGTGTATCATTCGGTGTTTTGGGTGTGGGTAAAAATAGATAGTCCTGTACTTGAACCATATGAAGTTATGTCATTGTTATTTGATTTGTTGTGGTGTGTAGAATGAGTTGGTTGTTGGATTGCAGCTATGTGAGTTGGAAATATATTCTCAGACTATGACCTCCCAGGGCACATATGAGAGTTGAAACCACTTTTTTATTCTGGACCGTACTAATTGAACCTTACTTACACATGTACTGTTTAAGATCAAATCCTATCTCTAAAAGACAAGATACAAGAAATAAGCCAAACCTATTTGGGTAGGATTGAAGAGTAGAAAAAAGAGGTGGTAGCGTCCGGGATCGAACCAGGCGGCTTTCCGGATTGAATTAGTTACCAAGCTCAAGCCCAATATTGAAGCCTGATCCCTCAGGTGTCAAATCTTATCTCTATTATTTTTTTCCGTATCAAAACTTTTCTCCAGGAACAAGGGACCAACTTCCTGGAATCACTTTCCCTCCAATTCTACAATACACATACCCAAATCCCAGCCGAAACATCCAAAATTCAAAAACCAACCCTCATTGCGCACCAAACCCCTACACCCTCAAAGGGCAACCAAGCACATCCCACACCACAAAATGGACGCCCAAGCCTACCTAATCAAGCACGGTTGGTCCGGCCCCGGCAACCCGCTGAACCCAAATAAACGGCCCGGCGCACACAGTGGACTAGGCCTCACACGACCGCTCCTGGTATCGCGCAAAGCCAACAACCACGGCGTGGGCAAGAAGACGACAAAAGACCCGACGAACCAATGGTGGCTGCGCGGGTTCGAGGATGCCTTGAAGGGTGTCGGGAACGACAGTTTCGAGGCTACCTCTGCGCGTGAGAATAATGCGCTGACAAGCGAGCTCTATCGGCATTTTGTGAGGGGGGGATGGCCTGGCCGGTACGCTGGAGGGATCGGAGAAGAAGAAGGATGAGAGCAGCTCTTCTATCTCCAAGTCGAAGCGCAAGCGCGAGAATGAGGATGATGGTCTTGATCGCAAGGCTAGGAAACTGGCAAAGGCTGCGCGGAAGGTGGAGAAAGCGGAGAGGAAGGAGGGGAGACGTGTGAAGCGGGCTGCGAAGGCCGAGAAAAAGGAGAAGAAAATGGCCGAGAAGCTTGCGAAGAAAGCTTTGAAGGAGAAGAAGCGGACAGCATCCGAAGAGGATTATCCAACGCCCACGTCGATTGATCAAGAATCGGATCAGACTGGGACGACTACGGAGACAGACAAGGCTGTTCTGCGATTGGAGGACAAGGCAGCGAAAAAGGCAAAGAAGGAGAGCAAGAAGGCCAAGAGCATAGGAAGCGATACGGTTGACGAAGACCAAAAAAAGAAGTCTAAAAAGGAGAAGAAAGACAAAAAGGAAGCCGAAGCCTGATATTGCTCAATTTTAACCATTTTGATTTTGGAGCGCTTCACATGCATGTCAGGACCATGTACAAACATTCTGTACAGACCTGTTTTCTCTTACGCCATCTAGAAACCAAGATACCCTTTTTGTTTGGCGATATCATGACTTCTGCAACCATAGTAAATGTAAATATCTATCTTCCTTTTTATGTGTTGGAGCTAAGCTACGCGGGTAATTTTCCAGGTTTGCCTGATAGAATCCACGGTCTTTTCTCCCAGAACTCATCTTTGATGATATCGACATGGTCAACGACGACCTGTGCTTTTCGGCGCAGTTTGCGCATCTTGTCTTGCTGTGACCTTGACTGCTTAGGCTCGACCATTGGTGATTCCTCGTCTGCAGGTGATTTTGTAGAGTTAGGTTCCTCCAGCTCGTACTGTTGAGAGAAACGTCAGAACGGACTGAGGCGGAAAGAACAAGATCATAGAACTCGGCGCATACCTGGCGATAAAGAACAGTGCCCTTTTTATAGATCTCCAGCTCGTTATTGTAGTTGATTCCAAAACGCTTGAAGAGAATCTCATTCTTGTCTGCAGACACAGTGCCCTGAGATTAAGTCAATTGCCTGTACTCCGAATTGCAAGAAGAATAACCCACCTTTAACTCTTGTTCGGCGTCTGTGTTACTCATTCCACCCTGCAGGACCATCGTCCAGAAGGTAGTGTTGTAGAGATTATTGATATGACCTAGTCATCCTGAATTAGCCGGATCTAGCTTTGAATCAGGGGCATTGCTCAAAGCCACCTACAATCAACTTGTCTCCAGCTCATGTAATCGCGGAGAATCCGGTTATTTGGGTAGATAACCGCACGCCCATCAAAGGATGGCAGATATGGTGGCAGAAGAGGTCTTTCAGGGAAGTACTCGCTCCATTTGTAAATGTAGTGTGCTGTGAATGTAGAGACGATAGTGGTCACTAGTTTCCTAAATGGAAGAGTTCCTGTCAACGGCTGTTCTTGCAAATCATATCACAGGAGATAGAAGCGTATAGAAGATACACACCCATTGCGCCGCTCAAAAAGTTGGCAGTTGGGATGGAAGACAAAACTGAGGAATTACTATTAGTGATTGCAGGGATGATGATGATACGAGTTGACCATACCTGAATTCGTCACTGACTCCGTAGGCGATGCACAGGTCTGGAAGCTCTTTCATGACCTCAACTGCTGCAGCATTCATCAGATCCAGTGCCCGGCGGTCATTGGGTTTCCTGAAGGCGTAGTGATCAGAGAGTCTATGTAATTGTCAGACTCTAGATATAGATATGGATGCATTAGACCGGAATAGCAGTCACGGCCTGGTGAAAGCTATGCATAGAAAGACGGTTATATAGCCGTCATCTTTTTTTCTTTCCGCATACAGATTTCTCATCCATAAGGTGCCCTCACAAGAAAGAGACTGATACTCACTTGTGAAATCCTCGTCCATCAATGCGGACCACAATCCACGTATTGGGGAGCAGCACGTCCGGCTGCTCGAAGGACTTGACATACTCAAATCTGTGTCCGTTGAGAAGGCTGTTTGAATTTCATTTGGATTCCTCAATTCTTACCTTGAGTTCGCCATTCGGTCTAGACTTTGATGTTAAGTGATGAATAGCTCCGGAGAATGGAAGTGCCATTTTGTGCGATTTCTGCCCGCCCGCATTTGCCCCAACTGTTCTTGATTTTGAGGACCTGGAAGTGATTTGGTGGACAAAAAACACCATAAATTCCGGTGAAGACTATAGCCTAATTTAATATCTAAACATATCAAGGCAAGGCAGAATCAAAAGTAAATAAAACTAGTATGGTGTTGAGATGCATATCAAACCCCCATGGGGAGATGTTTTAGAATCTAGGAAATGCAAGGGAAAGGACAGAACCAAGATGGTCTATAGATACATATGAGAATCATGATTTCTGGATCTCCTCAGAGATCTCTTCATCGCCAGTCTCACTGGCTCGCTCGCTAGTCTCGCTGGCCTTGTCAGACTTGCGGGACTTGCGTGAAAAGAAACCCAGGCTGCTGCGGGTAGAGCGGTCGGCGGATGTCACACTTGAGACGGTGCTATCGACACTCTTGCCGAGCTGCGCTTCACTGGCCGCATCCTCGTCAATATCACCTTGCGAGGATTCGCCTTTCTTAGAGAAAAGGCCCGAACGATCCTTCCATGAGCTGAACTTGCTGGAACTGCCCTTGCGCGTGATCTTGCGAATAAAAGACTCTTTCGAGGCATTGTCCATGGAAGTACCGGATGGCATGCGCTCCAACGATTCATATGAATCGCCAGTGAAAAGGGAGATGGAGCGAGATGTGCGAGACTCCGAGGGAGATCCATCGTACTCGTGAATATCAAATGGGCTGTCGGGATCATTGCTCTTGCCTGTGTCCAGCTCCGGCTTCTCGTCCGTGAAAACCGCCGTGAACGAGGGAGCAGCGGGATTCAGCTTTGGGGTCAATGGTCGATGAGAAGATGACGGACGAGTGCCAATCGGTGCCTGAAGAGGGCGGTGATGCCGGTCAAATGTGTCCTCCACGAAATCAGGTTCGCCGGTTAGACCGAGTGGAAGATGACCTGACGATCCATACTGGATTGAAGGTCGCCGAGAAGGAGCTCGAGACCAATTGGATGGTGCGGCCCAGTCGAATCCAAGCGGGCTGTTGCGGTGCCCAGCATTCTCAGTCGATGGCCAACCGAAGTGGCGGTTGTCTGTCGAGGGGTGCGGAAGCTGATTTGGGGTGTCGAATGAGGTCGACGAAGGTCGAGGGGACAAAGAACCCCGTCGAACGCCCCCAAGAAGCGATGATGGATCAATAGGGTCATGCCGAGGACTGAATTGGTTGTATCCACTGTTGAGATCAGGATTCCCACGGGTGCTAGCACCGCCGAAGCCAAACTTGCTGGATGAGAAGATATTCGAGAAAGCAGCTCGCCGGGAGGGCGCGTGATCAGAAGAACTATCCATGGTGACACCAGCCGTGTTGCTTCGAGGGAACAATGACATCGGGTTTGCCCAGTTGCCAGTATAGCTCGATCGACGCCGGCGGGCACCGATTGGATCCAGCTCATCAATATTGCGAGGGAAGGATTGACTCTGGCCAGGCTTCAAACTACCCAGCATAGGAGATTCATCTGCCAGGGTTTTCCCACGGGGCCGGTGAAAACCGAAAAGCCCGGAAAGTTTTCGCGATGCGCTTTTGGGGGCATCCCCGGCAGCAGACAAATGGACACCTTGGGATTCGTCCTGCCGATTTTGAGTCTCTAGAGGGCTCGCAAAGATACTGCCGGCTCGACTGTCCGAAGAGACAGGCGACACTGGGCCGTGACCGAAGCTATCCAACGGAGTACTGGACGCCTCCATGGTTGCAAATCTTGGACGAGTTATAGACCGGGGGAATTCTGGTGATTCCTCGTCACCAAGGAGATCAGATGGCAAGAGGGCATCCGCACGGGGACTCATTTGCGGGTTATTGAAAGAAACTTCCGTATCTGAGCGCATTATCTCCGGGGGATCAGACAGGCCTGGAAGAGCCATGCCGTTATTGATATTGAAAAACGCAGAGCTCGGGGCAAATGTAGGTGAGTGACCGGATGGGTTGTAGTTGATGCTACTTGGAAATGTTTCGACACCCGGGAAGTTCAGAGGGGAAGACACATTGCTGTTAAGTGAGCTGCGATGGCGACGGGGCCGAATGGTGGCAGTATTCGACATATCGAGATCCAAGGTCGGGAAGGCAAAGGGCCCTGAGCTGCCGGGTCGTTGGGCTGTAAGCCACTTCAGGCGCTCTTGGGCTTCTTGATATTGTTGCTGGGCTTGCGTGTGCAGGTTCACAAGTGTGGCATAACGTGCATGTAGGTTGCCCAGCTTGTGCTCCCACTGACGAGCTCGCTCGTTGTCGATCCGATCCAACTCTTTGCCATCTTCACTGTCGCCTTCTTGTAATCCCATTCTTTCCTCTTCTAGCTTCTTAACTCGTCCTCCTTTATCCTGGATCTCATCATCAATCGTCTTCATCTCCGCCTGCTCTTTTGCGATCTTGGCTCGGACCTCATCTGCGCGCACCGTCCCTTCTTCTTCAATTCTGGCTTTGTCATCCTTCGCCTGTAGAGCATCAGAGTTCATGCGTGAAATCTTCTCCTGCCATCGCAAGATGTCATTCTTGCGCTTCTTGCGCTCCGCCTCTTTTTGTTGAAGAAGTCTCATGCGCTTAGACTTTTCTCCTTGCACGGTTCGGTTGACGCTTTCTAATTTGTAGACATGTTTTTTCAAATCGCCACTTGCTTCGTCCTTCTCCCTGACGCGCTTCCGCAATTCACTGCGCTGTTTTTCAAGGTCCTTCAGCACTGCAATATGCTCTTCCTCCTCCTCTGCACCCTGCTTCTCCACATTCTCGTTCTCGTGCTGCAACGACTTCAAACGCTCTGCCAATTGTTCCAAAGTTTCATCTTTGGCAGTTTTTGTTCTGCTCTTGAACGTTTCTTCGAAATTGCCATGTGAAACATCCGTAGTTCCGGTCGCGGGCGAGATTTTCCGTCCTGCCGAGGGCCGTTTCCCCGGTAATTGGCCTGCACTATGCTCGCGAGACATTATTGGGGCAGATGGCGTTGGAAGGCCTACTGTAGACCTGGGGATTGAGGCGCGTATAATTGGACCTCCAGCGTTGCCATTTTGTTGAGCTTCGGACAGCGGAAGAGACTTTGTTCGGACATGGAGAATCGCACTAGGAGTCTGGAAGTTGGCGGCACTAACGGAAAGAACACAAATATGATAGATGTTCCCAGGTAATAGATTTGATATTTCCACCGCTGTTTCTGCTCGTTTAGATTCGCCGACTATAGACCGTTAGTGCTTTGCTTAATGGCAGAAGAGAAGAAAGTAGCCCAAACCGTACCTTTCACATTATTAACCTGAATGATATGCTTATGTATTGAGTTATGGAAGTCGGGCTGTTTCCAAGCAAGGCGGATTTCACGGGCAGTGATC